AATCGTGTTAAATGGATAAGTTGTACTAGACATTCAAAGTTTTCCTACACATTTCTACTTTATCTATCTCATGGCTTCCAGTAAGCTGTCTTTATATAATTGTTTAGATCTAGCATTTGTTTCACTTAAGATATAGATCTTTGATGGCACATCCAATTAATTGGGGGATACAAGAACAACTACTAGACTCCGGCAAATTCAGGATCACACACATAGGCCTACACACCATTCTATACGTACGGTACATATGTATTTCAACTGATGTTCTTGTAATTCGTATTAGGATGCGACAGTCGAAAATTGTCTGTGATAAAATGAAGAATGAAGAATGATGAAGAATGAGGTGTACAATAGCTGTTTCTGTGCCTATGGTCTGCAGTCGGGCCGACTATCCACTCAATCTGCCTTCGACAATCAACAGACCTTGCTGCCATGTTATCAAGCGCTCACAGACAGCGGAGATAGATATATTATAAATTCTGAATTTTCTTTGGCGTTACAACATTGATAAAAGACGTAACATAAATAGAATACATCAAAACAAAAGTACTGGCACAACATACTATAAAACGATCAATAGCCAGTTTGTCACTCTCCAACGAGTTAGTTGACAGACGAAATAGAAGTTTAACTATATGCTCTCTTTACTTTGCCGAACTTTTTTGATCACAAATATTGATCTGGTGTGTCATATATCATGTGCGACGACACTTATATTACCATTTCTGTGCCATGCAATAGGCCTAATAATAGCAGAATGTTGTTTGCGTCAGGAAATTTAATCGGAATGATGGTTTGCCCTAAGTGACGTGGTCAGATAGGGCAAACAACATCGAAATAGCATTGCGGTAACCTCTAATACTTAGGGATTCAACTCAACACTAGCCACTAAGCCCAAGCTCGGTGGTCTAGTGGCAATGATATCAGGCTAATTATCTTGAGATCCTGGTTCGATTTCCCTCAGAATCGCGTATACTGTATTTAAGAACCTACTGAGCATTCAGTACGATCAAGGAGGTTAAAATAATATTTTAACCTCCTTGGTACGATATCACGTAGGGCAAAACATCATTCCTGATAACAGAATGCTTTTGTTACGATTCGGATTAAGATTGTCTTAGAATGGCATTGTTTGAAGCTACCATTGTTTTTATAACACTGTTGAAAATATAACATGGTCTTTACATAACAGTGCTGTAAATAAGAGCTGATTTTATATCACCATATAACAAAGGTAATAACGTGAATTAAATTTACTTAAGAAATTATTTTAATATGATTTTATTTAATCGTAAGACTTCGTTTCTATTATTATCTATAACATTACCATAAATTAATTGAACGAGCACTTGTTATTATTATTATAATTATTATTATTAGGCTCTTATTTATTATTTTATTTATAATTATTATTAGGCTATTATTTTTATTATTATTTTTATTATTATTATTATTATTATTATTATTATTATTAGCACCATATTATATTATAATTGTTCTTATTATTGTTGCTATCGTCTTCATTATTGTTATTAATATTATCGTCATCATTATTACTATTCAATATTAAATATAGTTTATTGTTATTAATATTATTATTACTATAAACATCATTATCGTTCTATCAATATTATTGCAAATTAAATTAATAAACTAATTATTATAGTAGAAACATAAAAATAAGCCTATTGTGGATTTGCGGGAGATTGACTATTAGGTCTTCTCGATTTTCGGGAGATCCCCGCGAGTTGCGGGAGACCTGGGACCCCTGCGACTCATTCAACCTAGGCCTACATAAACCGTGAGTAAACACGTCATTTAATTAAAGCGAGTGTGCAGGTTATTAGAAGTCAGTACACGTGGAGTTGAGCCTCTGTTAAAATGCTGAAAGTTTTCAAAGATGGAGAAAGAAAAAGGAACTATTGTAAGTACTGTAAATTGAAAGTATACGTGTATATTATTAGTATAGGTATTAACGAATTATATCACTTTTTTACACTATTGATCTATCTATTTGGCAATTGATTAACAGGACCGTCAAAACAATTTTTATAATATTCTAATTACTTAAAAGAAATATATACTTTACCTATAAATTATAGAAATTTAGTAATACTTTTTGCACCATGTACCACAATGTCATTCGAATGTTAAAAAATCAAAAAGCCTATATGTATTTCACTCTCGTGTTATAAATTAATTAAAAACATTTTTAGTAGAAAAATTTATTTTGGAAAATGCTTAGAGGTATAACAATAAACTAAAAGTTGACTAGCCAGAATATAAACTTTAGAGTTGGATTGAGTCCATTGTATAGTGTGTGCCACTGTTGAATAAGTGGGAGCCAATAAAACTGAAACTGAAACCGAGTCGGCCAAACAGTCATCACCCCAAAAAGACATTAGGCTCAAGCCGGCCCTGATTACTTGATTTTTCTTTTTCCAAAATCTGTCCACCTCGGCTCCAACCATGGAGAAACAGAGGTGGGGTATGATATCTAGTCGCCCACTAATTTTAAATCAGGGAAAAGGAGGGGTATTGGCTCTATAGGTTGCCAGATTCTATTTTTAGACGTCTAGGTGTGTTATGTTTTTTCTCAACCTCAACCCCAACAAGGTTGGCCTGAGTTGGTATGGATTCTATGACCATTGTCTTAAACTCCTGTATCTGCCTCTGGAGGGGGATAATGATAGCCATTCTGTACATTCGAATAAGGTGTAAAAATGGGCAGTTATGCCCCCTTTCCCCCAGTTTTTAAATATTAAAAATCTGTATCTCATTCACCGTTCCCCAGTTTTTCGTCAAACAACTTTTTTCTGTCTTAGAAAAATCAGTTCTACAACATATCAAAAAATGTTTTCCTCCGGAGCCTGACTTTAAATTTCAGTTTAGTGGTGCCTGCATTTGCGAGTTCAAACCGAGAAACTTTGTTTACTTTACTTAGATTTTAGTGTCCTCGACTGGACCGCCTGTCAAAGCTCTGTTGTAAAGTTGTACTAGCAAGAAGGGCTCTTTGGACTAGAACCTAGTCAAACAAACAAAATTTCCCAATTGTCAAGTGATCAGAGGCCTTGACAACACGAAGCAGATTTACAGTGAAGCGCTAAAATCTAGTGGCTTTAATGACGAAATGAACATAATCAAAATGGGACTGTAAACTATAAGCAAAAAAACCGGAGTAGGAATATATATTATGGTTTAATCCGCCATATAGTATGAACATTAAAACTAATGTTGCAGTCATTTTCAAACTTTGTTAGTAAGCATTTTTCTCAGGGAAATGCACTACATAAAATATTTAACAAAAATAATGTTAAGGTAAGTTACAGTTGTATGCCCATTATGAGAAGTGCTATAAACAAACACAATAATAAGATATTGAGTATGAATAATAATAAAAACCCACTTGTAATTCATGTTTGGTGAAGTCGATCGTATATTCGGCCGATATCCTATCTAATAATAATGTAGTAAAACGTTATATTGGTATGACTGGTGGGGAATTTAAGACAAGGTTTATTAACCACAAGAAATCATTCAATAATAAATCATATGAAAAGGAATCTGAATTGTCTTAATATGTGTGGAAACTAAAAAATGAGAATACCAAATTTAAAATAGAGTGGAACATAGTAAAGCGCTTATCCGTAAAAAGCGCAGTGTTTGGTAATTTGCAAACTTTGCATGGACGAAAACCTAGCTCTTCTTAATGCAAAAGACAATCCTACTTAATAAAAGGTCAGAACTGGTATCTAAGTAGGCATACAAAATTACCACCTGATCCGCGGCTAATATGCAATTTGTAATAGAGCACTCTTCCGCATGGGACGTATTTACCTAATCCTCAATACATCCATATATATATATATATATTCATGTTCACACCCTACTTCGGATCGTGACAAATTCAAACACTCGTTAAAACATGACAAACTATTATGAAAAGTGTCATTTTGATCCATTGATTCAATTTAGGAATAGTTAGGTCTGGGACCTAATGGCCCTCAAATTCGCACCCGAGTTTAGATCGTCACCAACACTCATAATTTCTTCCTTGTAATTTGGTTAAACTTTCACAAAAGTTTCATTCAGATCAGTTGATTAGTTTTTGAAATATCTGGTCTGGGACGTCTTCGAATGGTCCTCATATCCACACCCTACTCCAAGATGGTCACCAACATTTAAACATTTCTTCATTGAAACATGACAAACTAATATGAATAGTGTCAATTAAATCCATTGATTATTTTAGATATTTAGGTCTGGAGCCTTAGGATTTTAAATGACCTTCAAATTCACACCTGAATTTGGATATCGTCACCTACACTTAATAATGTCTTCCTTGTAACTTGGTTAAACTTTTACTAAACTTTCATTCATATCAGTTGATTTAGTTTTTTAAATATTTTGTCTACAACTTTTGCTCTAAAATCCTTTAATTGGTCCTCACATCCATTCCCTATTCCGGACCGTCACAAAAATGTAAGTATTTCTTCATTGGGTTATACCTAACGCTCCCTGTTATTTTCAATTATGTCTGTGTAGCTGTTTTTTTAGATAATTCGAACACAAAAAAGCACACAAAACACGGAAGTGTTACATACACACACAAACCTACACGACTGAAAACATATATATCTCTTGGCGGAAATAATAATTAGATCTTAGTTAGTGAGTAATTACCAAGACTCATTCCAATGCTCATCTATCCATTATCATAGGGGAAAAGTGTTCAGTCCCCATTTCAGGAAAGTCAATTTGTTTTTTTTCTAAACGATGTCAATGGCGTATGTTTTCCCAGCTTTGCTGCCGTACCAGCTTATTCATCCTTTATGTTTACCTACTTGTGTTATTTGTCATCCGCACGTAACTTACCATTAGAATGCGGTGGTAGATAATTTTACGATGACGACTCACTAATAACACACCCTTCGACCTAAAAATCGACCCTGGGTAAATTTGTTTACGCTGTTTACATAAAGCAGTGTGTAAACACAGTTATTTAATAAAAGTGAGTACGCATGTTATTAAGAAGTCAGTACAGGTGATTGAGGATCTGTTAGTACTGAAATTTGCAAATATGGAAAAGGAAAAAGGAACTATTGTAAGTAAGCAGAAAACTATGTTTATATTATAAGTATAGGCCTATGTATTAACGAATTATATCATTTTCATGCACTTTATTGTTAAATCTTGTTTGGGCTATTTTGAAAACGAACTGTAAATTTAACACCTACTTTGATAATTGTTTTGTATACTTTCTCTCACTATGATACAATTGTGTTTTTAAGGAACCAAATGGAAGTAGGTTTTACTTTTTTCTCGTATGAATGTTATTACTCTGTTTACGAAAATAAAAATAAAGTCAATAAACCAATCAGTCAATTAAGCAATCATTTCTTGATTTTTAATTACTACATTTGATTAATGATTATATCCTACCCATTTCGTTCTATCTCTTAAATCTAAAACACGTCTACTTTATGTGTATTACACAAAATGCGCTGCGCAATAAAAAAAATACACTTTGAAGAAAAGAACCAGTAAAATTTTGCCCAGACTCAGTGTTCTTATTTTTCGCCAATTTCAGGCTCAAAATGTTCTTATTTTGTTCTTATTTTGCACACTGTCCAAGATAGAAAACAATGAATTGTACAGTGGTATATTATAGTATATAATAGAGGGACATTGTCACACCTACTGCACGTAAAGTAGATATAAGACCAAATTAATTCTGCTGATTCTTTTCATTTTCCAGTTTTTGAAATAAAATCCTCATTTGACAATTTACCCCAACCTATCAATTTATTTTTATTCATTAAGCAATTTCAGCCTCATTGTTCTTATAAAATGTGTTTCAGCAGTCTGTAATTCTTGGTTAGAAATGTATTGTATGTAGATTTAGATATTATATCACCTATTATATTATTATAACGTTAGACGTTGGAGCTATATGTTCAAAACTTTTTTTAGAACAAATAATACGTATTTTCTCCTAATTTCAACCTAAATCATTTTGCTAACGTTGCTACAACGTTGTGTTGGCACCATGTGTAAAATTAAAGTGCTTCATTCTCTATCACCAAACTAAAATAGGCGTTCTAATAAGCTTATCCTATATTAATTTAAATAATATATATACAGGGCCGGCGGAACGTTTTGCAAGGGGGGGGGGGGGCACTTATAAGAAGGCGCGTAACAACTAAATATAAGCATTTTCATCGTGGTTTTATTTATTACAATCATAGGCCTATTCTTTCACCATCATTACACAATGAGGCCCTTCTTTTAGGTAAAAGGATCTATTAAATTTTCTTTCTCAAGTTTGGGACTATTATGTTTTTAAATAACTTAGAAGGTAAAGGAGGGCAAGCACAAGCTTTAACCCTAACAAATGCGCGCGAAGCGCGCGAAAAATTTTGTGTTTTTAATTCTAATTTCGTCGGAATTGATCAAAACTCCCTAAATGTGCAATTTTTAGAGGAAATTGGCCTACCTCAACAAGAAATGCTTTTATGTTATATATGGCCACACTGGTTTTTTTTAAACTGAATATAAGCATTTTTCTTATGGCTTTATTTATTACAAACATATTCTTTCAACATCATTACACATTGAGGCCCCTCTTTTAGGTAAAACGATCTATCTTAAATTTTCTTTTTTGAGTTTCGGACTATGTGTTATAACTTAGAATGCAAAGGAGAGCAAGCACAAGCTTTAACATTAAAAAATGCGCGCGAAGCGCGCGAAAATTTTTTGTTTTTTTTAATTCTAATTTCGTCGGAATTGATCAAAACTGGCCTACCTCAACAAGGTAGGAAATTGGCCTACCTCAACAAAATATGCGATTTAAAATTTGAGGTTTTCAGGCACTTTCCCGGGTGAAAA